CATTCTCAAGAACATGTCTCTTCCTGGGTAACCCAGGGTTGCCCTGCAGGGGGTAACCACAGGGTAAGAGCTCTGGGCACTGGCCAAGCTCACAAGGGCTCCCAGCTGCCACTGATGGGGGGCTAGGATGTGTATGTTTGTGGGGAAACAAGCACATTCTAGGTCCGCTGGAACAGAGGTTGGCAAGGATCCTCGTCTGGTTGGTGTGTGTGTGTGTGTGTGTGTGTGTGTTGTGGGGTGGGCAGTGAGGACCCCCTGCCTGGGTGGGAGGTAGGGGACAAGTGGTGGGAGTAGGCATATGGGGAAGCCACAGACTGGCTCTCAGGGGGTCCCTCCATCCAAGAAAATTTTTAAAAAAGGCTACCCCCCCTCCGCGCACCTTCGCTCTTCCTGTACGTTTGATACTTTTCATATGGACTGTTAGGGAAAGCGTGCCGGGCTCAGCTTTGCCCTCTATCACCGTTCACTTTTTAAAAACCTTTCAGGCTGCGCCCGCTCTCAGCAGCTGCAGCCCTTGGAGGAAAGGATGAGCCTTAGGACGGGCGGTGGGACGTTCACATTCAGCGCAGGCAGCAGAAGTCACTTGTGGGGGGAGAGACAGTGCTGGTCTTACGGAGCGCCCACTTCATAGCCCAGGAAAGCGCCTTCCCTGAGGCCCCAGCCTCTCCACCCCACGGAGGCGCTCCGTCTGGTCAGCCTCCCCAGCCCCTCTCTCTGCCACTCCAGGACCCTGGCCTCAGGCTACCCCCCCTGCCTCCCACGTCAGTCCCTGGTTCTCCGCTTCCTGGAGTTTGGTCTCGGGGGGAGATAGAGGCCCAGGGAAGAGAGGGCTACCATTTGACCCCGGCCACTCGGTGGGACCATCAGGCCACTCCAGCCTCCAGGCCCCTAGACATCCCTCCTTCCTACCCTTCTGCAGCCCTGATCAGTCTCCGCTACCCCGGCCCTCGCCCCGCCCCCCATAACACACACAGGTCACCCCTTCCAACGGTCTCTCTTGCGTTCCTCTGTCCTGTCTTGGCTGCTTGACAACCCAACAGGCTGTGAGCGCCGCCTCTCTGACTGCCCGCTTCTGCCCCGTGACCTGGGCTCCGCTCTGCTGGTCTCCAGGGCCACCGGC